CCACTAGTCACGCAGTGGGAGAAAGTCACTCTTGGACAACCCCCAGGGGCAGTTCCACCCCGTCCTATGGTGGCAATGAGTTGACACCAACTCAATGGCAGTGAGAATACAGAAAGCAGTTCATCTCTTAGGGCTTTTGGCTTTTTTAACTATTTAAATAAAGAGAATTGTATAAATAGTCTCGAATATCCCTCCCCAAGTTATATTGGCCATCACCAAGACCCAAACCCCAAACCCATTATTGTAGAGTCATGGTTTAAAACCAGAAAAGGTGTGTGTTAGGGTTGTATCTTCTCACCATACTTATTCAATCTGCATGCGGAGCAAATCACCAGAAAAGCTGGATGATGTGTGAAGAAGAATGTGGGAGTAGGATCGGAGGAAGGCTTATGAACCACTTGTGAGATGCAGATGACACCACCTCGCTTACCGTAACGGAGGAAGACTTGAGACACTTGCTGATGAAGATTAAGGATTGTAGCCTTCAGTATGCATTACAACTCAAAAAACTCACAACTGGACCATTAGTTAATATCACGATAATGGAGGAAAGATGGAAATTGTCAAGGATTTTGTCTTGCTTAGATCCTCAATCCATACTCATGGAAGTAGCAATCAAGAGCTCAAAAGACACATGCATTGGGTGTACCTACTTCACAATCTTCTTTAGAGCGTTGAAAAGGAAGTCTGTTACTTGAGGCCACAGGTGTGCCTGACCCACGTCTTGGTGCTTTCAATTGCCTGATATACATGCGAACATTTGGACATTGAGTAAGGAAGGCCTAAGAAGGCTTCATGCATTTGAATTGTGCTGCTGGTGAAGAATATTGAAAGTATCATGGACTGCCAAAGGAACAAACTAATATGCCTTGGATGACGTATGACCAGTATGCTCCTTAGAGGTAAGGATGGCGAGACTTCATCTTACATATTTTAAACATCTTACCAGGAGAGACTGGTCCTTGGAGAAGGACAGCATGCTTTGTAAAGTAGAGGGGCAGCGAAACGCAGGAAGGCCCTCAAGGAGATGTACTGACATAGTGACGGCAACAGCGGAAGGGCCGCGGAAGCATAGTAACAGTTGGGAAGATGGAGCCAGACCAGACAGTATTACAATCTGTTGTGCATAGGGTCACTATGGGTTGGGATCGACTCATTGGCACCTAATGACAACAAAAACAGGACAGAGCAGCTCCACCCCACAGGGTTTCCAAGAGAAAGGAGCCCTGTGATGGTGTGGGTTAGCCATCGGGCTGCTATCTGCAAGCTTCAAACACACTAGTATGGAAGCAGATGTCCACCTTGTTCTCCTTTGGAGGGACGGGTGGGTTTGAACTGCTGACCTTTTGGTGGGCAGCAGGCACTCTAACTAATGTGCCCCCAGGATTCCCTCATTTGGCAATTACTCATTACAAAATGATCCATGATCTAATTCTAATGGAGGACAAGTCAGGCATAAAGAGGGGATTGGAGCCAATTGTTCTAGCAAGAAAATACATATTTCATTCATGTCTACTCGAAGTCCTCCTCTCAAAAGCCAGCTTTAGGGCTAGAAGATGGGGCTGTGAATCTGGGCAGTCAAGGCATGGCCCTGGATAGGTGGGCTTCTTTTCTGAGGGTCAGTTTCTTTATTTCAGTATGGGGCTTTGTAAGCAGGGGCTTGTGATGTGCCTATTATCAAACTCAGACTGTGGTAGGCCTTCAGCTGGTATCTGCAGCAGCAGCGGCTTTCTCCAAGACTGGCACTCTCCAGCTTTAGGGGCACATGGAATTCAGGTGACCCCCAACTCCGGCATCCCTTGGTAAACCCCACCCATTGTTTTCTTGACTCGGAGGTGAACCTGGACTCCAGGGCACAGAGGCATGCCTCTGCCCTGTCTGATGACGGCTCCTGTTGGATTTATGGTGGTCTTCTTGAGCAACTGCTTCAGGAAATTGAGCACAGGTGTGTGCCCATCCTAAGCCCTTGAAGGGCGTTTCTAGTTCTGACTCACAGAATAATGCCCTGTGATTTGAAAATATCCACTTCAGATCCTGTATTTATGATGCACTTGGTATTTCCCAGTCAATTTTAACCTCACTGCCCCACCTGAAGCCTGTCACTGCAGGAGGTGTTGGCAGAAGAACTGGTTATACATTTACATCTATGCAAACTTCCTCTCCATCCCTCCCCAAGAGGTTACCAGAGGCTCAGGGACCTTTAAAAGTGCTTAAGTTGAGTTCCACCTTCGTCCTGAAGTTGTGTATTTGGACAACACCCTCTGGCCCACCCACCCAAACAAAGGCACACACAACGACCATGTGCTCCATCAGGGACATGCTCTGGAGAATATGCTCTGGCACTGCCAGTGTGCCCGTCTCCCATTTGTGGAAGTAGGGCCCCCAGGGTAGC